AAAGGTAACCCCACTTCCTTCATTCGCAAAAATCTCCACTTGTATTCAAGAGAAACGGATATTTTTTTCATCCAAATAAACACAAGTGAACAAATAACTCTACATGATGAAAACTTGACGAGAGCCTGATTCTACCACGCTGCCTCACATATTTATTAATCTAGATATTATGTTTCTCCCATTATCTCTCCCTCTCCCTCTCTCTCTCTCTCTCTCTCTCTCTCTCTCTCTCTCTCTCTCTCTCTCTCTTTCTCTCTTTCTCTCTCTCTCCCTCTCTCTCTCTCTCTCCCTCTCTCGCTCCTTCCCCCCTCCCCCAAGCACTGTTTCTCCCATTATCCCCCTCTCTCTCTCCCTCTCTCTCTCTCTCTCTCCATACAGGGAGGACGGCTGTTTGAGAGTGACCTGGTTCTCCAGATGGCGCAGGCACTAAAGGTAATTCCTTGTAAATGTCCCAAACACCAGTGAATCATCAGTTTACACGGTTAAACAGATCTTGTTAATGTCCCAAACGCCAGTGGATCAGTTTAGACGGCTAAGAAGACAGATCTTGTTTAATGTCACACACACACAATGACAGAGAATAGACAGTACCGGAAACTGATCTTCGTCGGTTGTGTCGGTGGTCTAGTGGTTAGGGTACCGGACTCGTAATGGTGAGGTTGTCGGTGGTCTAGTGGTTAGGCTACCGGACTCGTAATGGTGAGGTTGTCGGTGGTCTAGTGGTTAGGGTACCGGACTCGTAATCGTGAGGTTGTCGGTGGTCTAGTGGTTAGGGTACCGGACTCGTAATGGTGAGGTTGTCGGTGGTCTAGTGGTTAGGCTACCGGACTCGTAATGGTGAGGTTGTCGGTGGTCTAGTGGTTAGGTTACCGGACTCGTAATGGTGAGGTTGTCGGTGGTCTAGTGGTTAGGTTACCGGACTCGTAATGGTGAGGTTGTCGGTAGCTTAATATTACTTGCTCAGTGCCTGTAACTATCTACACAAAATCTTGTGTCTGTTATAACGAACATTTGGATTCAACGAGATTTTAGGTCGGGCCTGGCGTCCTCGTTGAATCCGAGTTCCACTTTATAGATCGTGAAGCATTTAGAGCTTGCTGTTGAGCGGGGATTTGCACTGTACAAATGATATCCATTATTAGTAGGTAGGCCTACCACAAGCGAACATTTTTTGGAACAATATTGACGTTTAAACTTCAGGGGTTCAAATATACTCTATGAAATAAGAACATTAAAAAAAGAATTATCAAAATCCATCTATAAACAATCGAGATATGGTATTTCAAAGTTTTATTTTTAAACGAAACCTTTTCAACTGCGACTTTCACCCATGTTTGAGGTGTTCTAAAATACAAAGTGCATGATCAAATCAATGAAAACAACACAAATATTGATATCTTTAAATTAAAGCATGTTAGAATGACTGGTTTCCAAGATATAGGCCTTCAAAAATTGGAAAAAAAGCCAAAATTTGTCATTAAGAGCTCAGAACCCTATTTTAACCTCTTCCAAATTAGTCAAAACTCCTCATTAGTGAAAATCACACAATAATAATAATAATAATAGATAGCATTTGTATAGCGCATCTCCCCGCTCAACAGCAGGCTCTATGCGCTTTACACTATATTATTACCCCAGCAGACCATAGAACACTCCGAAACATTCTCAGCTTCCTGGGAAGCATACAGTGCAAGCTGCGGATTTCACGCGCTCAAACACTATCAAACTGACAAGATCTTTCACTGTCTATAGCTGGGTACCCATTTCCACCTGGGTGAAGTGAGGAAAATTCGTGTAAAGTGCCTTTCCCAAGGACACAACGTCGGGCCCCTGACGGGATTCGAACCCACGACCTTACGGTTGCGAGTCCGAGAGCCTAACCACAATCAATACAAATACATGCATAGACTTAGCTGAATTTTTTTCAGACCTCTCTGACCATAAGTAACTTTTCTGGACTCCTCTGAAGTGGGCTTCGGTGCAAAAAACGCCTCTTGGAAAAAAATTAGGGGAATTCTGGTACATCCTCGGGCAAAAAGCGTCACAACAAGTGAACAAATTAAGCTACAGGGCTAAATCATACATCAAATTAAAGCTCAATGCAAGCTCTACGGGGCCAAATGAAAACTGTTTACTAAAACTTCTCATAACACTCCATAATAGGGCCCTAATGCCCAAAAACCCTGCCATTATTGAGTGAAAATTATAACGTCTGCCGACTGGAAAAAAATTCATATAAAATCAACAAATTGTGCTACAAGGTTGA